TGGATCCCATATGCATTTTCCATCAGGCTCGTCTCCTTCGCGTGTGCCTCACGACCCCGCGCGCCACGATGATCCGATGAATACCCCGCTCTTATCCCGCGCGAGCGCACTTTCGCCGCGGTGTAAACGACGATATCAATGAGCGCGACGTAAAATTGTCGAATTTATCGCGGCACGCCGTGTCGTATTTCTTCCTCCACTTTTCTGTCTCTCGCTTCCGTCTCTCCTCCCTCTTTCCGGCGGTTCATACCACCGACGCTGGATCTCGAATGATCCGTGCGACGTGCCTGATTATACATTCGTACAGCCGTACCGTGAAATCGATAACCCGCGATAACGAAAACGCGTCCGCTCCGGGACATGTCGCTGATAACGCGGACCGCGTTTTTTGCGCCGCATTTCGCTGGGCGAACTGCCGCGGGAATGTCACGGGAGAAATTCCGTCTCTGCGCAGTGTGTAGCCTAAAATATCGGTATTTGAGAGAGATAACCGAGGAGGAACGTAGAAGCGCGCTCTCTCTCTCTCTCTCTCTCTCTCTCTCTCTCGGAAATGCCAGGAATATCGAAAAGTTTGCCTAAAACCGAGGCTTTCCCACGTATCAGCGTCGCCCTGAAATTCTCGGTGATTGCGTTGCTCCTTTCACCCCTTCGTCGTCGGACATCGTCCGAGGGATGAAAGAAGAGAAAAAGAGACAAGGAGGAGACAGAGAGAAACGTCCGACCTTTCAGCGCGCACGCGGCTGGATCGTTAAGATTTTTATCGGAATCGCGATATTGGATGGACTGGACTGGTGTATATACGGGAATATATACGAGCGACCGGTTATCCCGCGGGCGAGAGATCCCGTGTGGCCGATCCTGGGATCTACCGCGACACAGAAATCCGAGATATGAAAAGTCCGCGGCGCGGCTCGAGCCATTGAGAAAACGCGACGGCGGATGAAAGTATCTTACGGCGTGGCGGCAAAGCCAGTCTAAAGCCGCCAAGTTAAACGAAAGTCCGTAAAGGCTGATACAGTCGCGACATTCGGGAGCGCAATACCGCGCTGCCTGCCGCCGTCTCACGGGTTAAGTTCGCCGGCGAGAAACATTTTCGCGACAACTTCGCGCGCGCACCGGCTGTCGGCGCTATTCATGATCGATCTGTCACGAGCCCCGCCCCGCCCCGCGCCCGAGCGACGAAACACTTCCGAATTACTGCTTTTACGCTTGCTTACACGCGTCCGCGTCCACGCACACGCGTCGCACACATGCGCGCGAACGTGTATAAGTATAAGCGTAAAATTCGGGGCCGCTGCATAACGAGAAGGCGCTCTCGCTCTCGCGAGGAAAGAGAGTCACTCGTCGTCGCGGCGTACATCGATACGCACGAATAATAATAAGGCACAAGCGAAGCACGTGCATTCCTCGTTCCTCGTCGCGCGCGACAATGAGCGAATCGTCGCCAATCACGCGACGAACGCGTTCGTTCCCATGCACTTCGCACTTGGCGGTCACGATTTTATTTTTTCGAGGAAGAAGGGACATTCGTCGAGCAGATTCGTCGCCTGTGATCGATGAGCGATAAGGAGAGCGTGGGAGCGAAGAGAAACGAGGGAGGGATCGTATGTGAGCAGAGAGAATTCGCGGGTATTTACCGAGCTCGACGGGAGAAATACGGCGAATTATTTCGTCATTACCGAGCAAACGACGAGGCGGTTGTCTTCTGGTTACACGCTTCTGGTCGCACGCGCGCGCGCTCGCACGCTCGCGGCCAGCATCCCGCATGAGTATCGCATCTGTGCCGTTGCTAAACGCGTACGTACGAAACGCAGACGACGCATACCGACTACGGAATCCCCGCATCGCAATTTATGCTGATTTATATGCGCGACGGCTTGCGGGCTAGGAGCATGCAGCGTCGTTTTCGACCCGGTTGTCTCTCTCTCTCTCTCTCTCTCTCTCTCTCTCTCTCTCTCACTCTCATTCCCGCTTTACCGTCTCTCGACGAGAGCATCGGTTTATTTGTACTCCAATTTATTTCTAATCCTCCTCACATTCGACGTCCCTCGAATGTCGTGCAAATTTCGCGCGCGCGCGCATCGCACTTTAATCGAATACTTACGGAGGCCCTGTGGACCGGTCATTAACGGGACTCGCGTTTTTACAACGTCCCGCTCTCGCTACCCGAGCTGCGGATACTTTCATCGGTATTTTCATCGGGTCTGTTTTTCAATCTTGCCGCGCGGGTCGAGCGAGACGTTTCGCGAAAAACAATCCGATCCCATGTTCGCGGCGCGTTCCTCTCACGTGAACATTTCCGCAGGTAACACGGATGACGCCGCCCGCGCGCATTCCGTGTATTTCCACTTGGCAAACAGACTCTTTTTGTTATCGTATTTGCTCTCACAGCGTTGTTTTCCACCTGCGTCTCCTTGGTGAGAGGAGCGCAGAGGTGAACTCGCGATGATAACCTCCGATAATGAAGCCATCACGCGCACACATTTGCGGTTTCCAGCAATAAATAATGAAGATAAGAACCGCCTGTGTCTCTCTCCTTCCCTCTGCCCTCTCCCCCTCTCTCTCTCTCTCTCTCTCTCTCTCTCTCTCTTTCTCTCTTTCTCTCTGCGTATCCCTCCGCTGTGTATCTGCTAACACGATCTCTCCCTCTGCCCTCTCGTGCTTATTCAATCTATTCTTCTTCGCGTGTGCACCCTCGCGTCCCGATATTCCCCCCAACCACTGTTTCTACGCGACCATCCACGTAGTTGGTAGGATCCCCTGCTCCCCACGAAACGCGGGGGCCAGTTTCGCCCGGTGCCTGCATACAACAAAGGACGACGTTCCTCACTGAATGCTAATTGACACCCAACCACGACGACGAGGACGAGAACGGCGGCGGCGGCAACGACGACGACGACGACGACGACGACGACGACGACGACGACGACGACGACCCGGGCTAAATTCCAAGCCGAAATTTCGTCCCTCGTCGTGCTGTTAGGCATTACTATTAGCTCGATGTCGCGCGGTATAAGCCGTGTGCTACAAACTCCCGTCGTAGCTAAAGCCCGCGCGAGCACGCCGGTAAATATTACGGGAACTCAGGGCGCGAGCGGGCGAGAGCAGCCGCGAGAAAGTTTATATAAAACTTCAGTCGGTTATTACGATGGACGTATTTACCGTTCCGTGCGCACATCGCGCGTATTGCCGCGTTAATAATTCAATTGTCAAAGAATCTGCCGAGCACACGGTAACTGCTGGATTAATCTCGTCTATAATGTAGAGTCAATTTTCTCTCTCTCTCTCTCTCTCTCTCTCTTTGCCGATGGGCCGTCGCGCGTTAACGGCTCCATTCGGCCCCATCAGCGGGCGAACCTGCGTAATTAATAATTCGTTATCAATGATTAAACTGCATCGCTGTCTATCACCGACGCGAGGATGGATTTTATATAATATACATATATATATATATATATATATATATATATACACGACCGTCATTTATTTCATGTCCAATTTACTCGCACGAGCGCGCTCGATCGACCTCGCTGGATAAACCCACGGCCGAGGAGCGCGCGCGCATCATTGTCGTCGACTTATTTCCCCGCGGATTTTGCGCGCGGCCGCCCTGCTCTCAAGTTTACTTAAAAACTCCATCGGCCATCGCGGTCGCCGCCTCGTAACTTCGCGAGTTCAGCCCTGTGCTTCCAAGAGCCCTGCCCTCTCCCTCGCTCCGCGTTCTCTCTCTCGTTCTCGCCCTATCTACTTCTTGAGCCACCGTCGTCCATCGGAACTTGGTATTCACTTCGCCCTACCTTCGCGCTCACTACCTTCGTCCATTCTTTCTGGGCCCTAAAACTCGCCGCACCTTCCACTTCACAATGACGCTTCGACGGTGATGATAAGATGGAAGTGCTCGCTTTTACTTCGGCTCTCTCGCGAACCTCTGCGCTTGTGAGAGGGAGAGAGAGAGGGAGAGGGAGAGTTTGCGGATTTTCACTGATGAATTTCAAGGAGAGCGCACCGGCGAAGTAAAAAATGTCGTGCTCCGCGCGGAAGCGATGGCAGGATAATTGCATTCCCGGCGAGTTTCGCCTCTGCCTGTCTCGGGCTGCTCGAAAGATAGAATAAGGGAAGGGAGAGTTACTTACTCGTTAATCTCCAGACCACCCCATTCATATCCCTCGTTTTTGTCGCATTGGCGACACGATGATGATAATATAAATAAAAATTGCGATAAAAATAAAGCGCATAGTTACACGGGAGACGAGACGAAGGCGGCAGACAACGTGATAAAGAAGTTCCTTCCTCGTCTCGTAATATAAATCGTGCCAAGTACACTCTGCGACATAAAAAAACTAACTACCTCTCTTGAGAAGAAAGAGAGAGAGAGAGGGAGAGAGAGAGAGAGAGAGAGAGGGGCGAGAGAGGGAAGGAAAGGCAAAGAACGCTACTTAAGATCGACACTCCTCGACCACTCAAAGCATCTTCTCAACAATTCACTTTGCGTCTATCGCCAACATTATTATTTATCTGGCGTCTTTCCTCAGTCGAAATTTTGGTTCTACATTTATCTTGCAAGTGCAGTCGTGCTTGAAGGTTCAACGGAGAATTCCGAAATGCAATTATACACGAGATCATAATTTGATATAATTAATGTATATATATATATGTATATATATATTATCAAAATTAAGAAAAGAGAAAAGTTACATGCCGACGGGAGCTGTTGAGATAATCGAAAATATTAAGTAATTTTCAATTCGAAATTGTGCGCTCGAGTTTCAAGTGTCCTCGTCCGATCGGCTTTTCCGTCGAATTTCTTCCGGGGAAGAATCGAGCTTGTCATAAGAATTATGAAGGATCAGCCAGTGTGTCCGGAGCAGCCTTTATTGACGTCACCTGCACCTGGATTAATTAATCTGTGAATAATAACGCGAGGCGTAATGCAAGTATACAAGATAATGCGAGGGAGAAAAAGGAACGGTAATCACATCGCGTCCTTTCCGCGCGTCTTCTTCCTGTGTATATATTTTTTGTTCTTTATTAGTATATATGTCGCGATACAATGTAGTAGTCTCCTTTTCTCTTGTAAGAAAAGCGTCAATACTTCTACCTCCTCACACGTTTAGGACCGTCGCAAATACACGTTTTCATACTGTGCAGTTCAGCAGGCACCACGTGGTATATCCTGCGACTCACGCGAGCTTGACAACATTTTCTCAAGTTTTCCCATTCGCGCGCGTCCGGGTCAAGTTTAACCCGTCCTCTCCGCTAATCGACGCAAGATCTGTGCCCTTGAATTACGATAGTCGTTATCTTGGTTCTTTAAGTCATCCTCGCAATTGACCAGAGATCGAAAAGTATCTCGTCACTCATCATCCACGTGTGAGAATAACAATTTTCCCACTTTCTACAAGGTTTTACGGACACACATTGTGGGAGAATAATCAAATTCAACGGATACCGATATAGATTTCCGGTAGATAACTGGAAACTCTCAGTGACTATCTATACCCCCCCCCCCCCTCCTTACCTTCCCTCGAAAGAAAACTTATCCATCTTGTTCGATCCCCGCAATTGCCGATTATCTGTTTAATGCCCCGTACATCGCCGGATGTACCTCGTTTAGTAACGATCACTCTTTCACGTCCGGTCTCTTATCTCCCGGTAATGGATCGACGGCCGAGACGCGTCAGGCAGCGACCTTAAGCCCGTAGGCAGAAATTTTGAAAAATCATCTCGGATCTTTTTGCACGCACTCCCTCGTCGTCGGGCCGGCCGTACATCATCGCCAAAGCCGATAAGCCTCCGCCGGCGAATTTCGTTATTAAGCTCGAGGGGGAAAAGCGTCAATAGCTATCTCGCTCTCGCTCTCACCCTCGCTCTTTCTCTCTCTCTCTCTCTCTCTCTCTCTCTCTGCCCCGGGAGAGAACACAATCGAACGAAATGACCCGTCACGCCGCGCATAATTTATAGGAACCGCCCGCTCGAGAAGCCGATCGCCTGATCGTCCTGCCGCGACACTCGGCCCGATTGTTTCGCGATTACCCGGGATCGCCGCTCGGCGGAATCCAGAGGCAAAGCAGATTTCTGCCCTGCGCGTACATGCGATACGTACAAATGCGATCTCGACCTGCTTGGACTTTATTCACTCGCGCATATTGTGCACGTAAGCGGTTATTGCCGCTAATAAATATCGGTTTACTCGCACGCCCCCCTCCCCCTGCGCGCGTCGTTCCACTTAATTCCTTCCACGATCGAATTCAACGCGAACGCATACATTTCCGCTCACCCTCGGCGGCGAAGGGGGGTCAGGGGGTGACTTGGCTACGAGGACGCGGGTGCTCCCGCGGTCTTTTCAACCGGTCGATCAACTGCTCCCCGTGTCGCGCGCCACTGTGCCGCGACGACGGGGTAAAAGTCGCTTCGCCAGACACCCCGCTGCGAGGAAAGCCCGCGCTGGTTAACCAACCGAATTCCATTTTCGAGTAAATACTGCAGAGCTCGCTGAGCCCGAGCTCTGGCCGCTGGACTGCGCGAGGAGAGTAGACGCTAAGCGACGCGTCGAAAAAAGATCAAAAGGGTGCAGCGGGCGTATGTACGTGTGCCAAGCCCTGTGCGGTCGCCGCGCTGTTTTCCTCCTGGATGTACGCAACCACACCCCGCGCTCGCTTTCTCTCCGATCGTTCTTGTCGTTGCGTTCGCTCGCGTCTCCTCGCTGACGTCGCGCGCGACACAACCGCGCGACATCAAACGTCTAATTATTAAGGCACCATTGGGAAGGCCGGCGATGATTTATTACCTCCAGCTCCAGCTCCAGCGGGGAGTCTCTTGTATCCGACGCGAGTCTCGCCTCGCGGCTGAATTCGTTATATACTTCAGCCGAGAGCAAGAGAATTCCTCTCTTCTCGCCCCGCCCACCCCTTCCTTCTCCTCCTATTCTCCATATCCTCCCCTCCTCCTACTTCTCGTTTTTTTTCCTCCACGAGGGAATAAAGATGAACATCTGAATTTTTCAGCTATAACAGGGTGTGATGCGCGGTGGGGGGGGGGGGGGAGAGCGTAAGGAGGCAGGAAGGAAGAGCGGGCGGACGAAACGTGTATATTTCGAGAGAAATACTTATACATTTTTCATGCCCTCCCGCGCGTCGTTAGAGCGCCGCCGCGCTGGCATTGTCGAAATTACGCGATGCAGGGCCCACCCTTCAAGGGCGCACCACGCCCTTACAGTCCCGAACACCTGTCGTCATTTGCACACGCCTTGTTACGCCAGTTATGTCCCGCCGGAGTCGATCGATTCGGCTACGCCGTCTGTGCCTAATCAAGCGGAGCGCGAAGAGCGCGTAGATCAATAGTATTAATTACGCTAATTGCGCCTACCGGGACCGCGTCGCGTCGTATTGACGGTTCCGTTCAATCGGCACGCAACGCGCCGCGTTTCGCATCACTCGACCGCGCGCAGCGACTTTCCACCTATCTTATGCGCTCTCTTTTGCCGTCGCCGAGCGAGCAGAAGCGGCGACTCCGTCGGGCGTTTGTCGCGCCGATTGTTTCGCTTGTCTCTTCCGTTCTCGAGGGGAAAAGCTACAGCCGAATTTCCACGGCTTTTCGCCGTGAAACACGGCGAACGCACGAATGAAATGAAGATCGCGAGAGATTGCGCAGTGTGTGTGTGCGTGCGTGTGTGTGTGTGTGTGTGTGTGTGTGTGTAAGCGTGTACGCGTGCTTGCGTGGAGAGATATTATCACCTGAGAGAAAAGTCGAGGCGGTCGTATGACGCGAATGACGACGAGGGCGAGGAAGGGCGGGAGGGAAGAGACAGTGGAGTCTATTACGTCGCTGCCGGGCATTACGGATAATGGCCGCGTGCGCGATGCGTTTTATACCGTTCCGAAAGGGCGGATCGTTAGGTCGGCGACGCGGTAGCGAGGCTGCGACGCTTAATGAAGTAACGTGGCCGCCGACGCGACGGGGAGGAGCAGCGCGTGGCCCTCGGTGAGGGGCATTACTTAACGGGGACTTGAGTCCACCGGTGCCGTGAAACTGAATGAACTACGTCCCGTGGACAAACGAGAGAAATGATAAATGCGAACGCGACTGACGGACGTGGATGGACGTGAAGTGAACGCGAGTCGCGAAGGAAGTCGTCGCGACGGGCTCTCATGGGGGCGAGATGATGATTCAGGTCGATCGAAGCGCGACAAAAGAGCGAATGGAGAGCGTCCGACCTCGCGCGCGCGTTCGTTGGTTCGCAATTAAATTGAACGATGAAGAGAGTAAGGAACATTTGGGCGCCCGCGATCCCGTTGATTCACGCGGATCTCGAGCCGAGCATGAAAGCAACCGAAGTCTCCGTGCGAGGAAAGGCTCTCTCGTTACTCCGCGCGCGATCTCGAGGATAAACGAAACTCCCGGCCGTTCGCCGCAGGATCTCACAGACGCGTCGCGCATCGACGCCGTGAACGTGCGAACGCACCCACGTGAACCTCCGGAAGAATCTTTGCGCTCGCTGAGGCGCTCGTCCTTTGAACTCGTCCTCCCGCAACTCCGTGCTGTGCCCAGCAGCCTTCTCCCAGGATGGTCGAGCGTTCGAAAGCGCGCCCGTGGTCTTAGCACGTCGCGTTGCTCCTCCTCGCGCGTCTCGTACCTCACCGGCGTCGCCGAGAACACGCTCAGATCAGAGCCGGAGGCTCCGTCAGCAAGAGACGCGCGCTCTCTTACTCCATCGCGGCTTCCTGGAGAGCGTGCAGTTGAGCGTACAGACCTCCGGCCGCCATCAGGTCGTCGTGGGTGCCCATCTCGGCCACCGCGCCCTTGTCAACCACGCAGATCACGTCCGCGTTCCTTATAGTGGCTAAACGGTGAGCTATGGTGATGCACGTTCTGCCCTCCATGGCTTTGTCCAGGGCCTGCTGCACGACCTGCACGCACAAAGTGTGGGATAATGTGATAGGGTATGCCCAGAGGCCACGTGGTAAGGAAACTGCCACCGTCGTCGTGCCATGTCGACGACGACGACGACGACGACGGCAGTGGCGGCGGGGGGACTGTAAACGACGTCGGGTCATTAAGTTACTCCCTCGTCTTATACATCTTTAATCATCGAGCAAGTTTTTATACGCACCTGCTCTGGTACACTCGCCAAGGATATTATTACGCAGAGATGACGCAGTCGAGCCGCGTCGAGCTCAACGGCGTGATGTTCGAGCAAACGCGAACGCGCGAGGAGAACGCGCGCGGATTGTCTCGAAATCCGCTCGAGACTCGATCGAGAATTGAATCGCTCTCGCAGCTGGGAAATGATTTCTTTTTACATTCTACCGAGGCGCGCAAAAAATTGCTCGCCGCTGGTGTCATTTATTTGTCTCGTCCCACGAGAGAGAGAGAGAGAGAGAGAGAGAGAGAGAGAGAGAGACCTGGGCGTTCCGGCGCATCTTTCGGATTAATTCACCGAGATAATTTGAGCCGATTAATGAGAGAGACCGTGCAAGGCGTCGATTCCGCGAAGCGCGCTTCAAATCGGAACACCGACTCGCCGCGCTTGCGGAGCCAATCGAACGTACAAAAACTCTGCCGCTTTCGTTTTACGGGCCAGCAGCGAAAGGCGGGATGGAGTTAGCGGGGGGCTCTATCCGTTTTGTGGGCCTCCTGTCCCTCTCCGGGCGAGGGGACGACCGGCGCGGAACAATATTGCCGCGAAATTCATTACGACCGGCGAGCTGTTTCCCGACCGGGGCGCAACAACCGTTCGCTTGTAAAGCCGAGCATTTCCGATTGTTAGCGCCGATAATGCCGGCGATATCGTTCGCGCTCGGTTCGCCCGGTAATTTCGGCAGATCAACAGAGAGAGGCGAGAGAGAGCGAGAGAGAGAGAGAGAGAGAGAGAGAGAGAAGCGGAGAAGAGGAGGGGAAGAAAAGAGAAGAGTTTGAATCGCGAATGATGGAAAAAAAAATATATATATATATATATATGAATATATATATATATATATTCATCAAGCCATCGCGCGGATTATCGCTGCTTCCTGACGGCGAATCGCTCGCCGAAAATGGCGGAAGCGGCAAGATCTGATTGTGGCAGGTTATGCAATTTATTACCATCGCCGTTCACGACCAAGCAGCGACAAAGTCAATTGGTGCCATCGGTGAGTTTGAACGAAACGCGCGAGAATAACTGCAGACAGATGCTGCTACTCCGCGGCGCGCACTTTGATCGAACTTTTTCATTTTTCATCGAAATCCATCGAGTCACGTTAATATTCATCGCTGCGTTCACTTCGTGTGCGCGCGCGAGTTCGCCGATCCGGGTCGCTATCGACGCGGCGACCCGCACAATCGATATTCTAGTGTGGCCCATATTGTAAATACTCTGATATTTATTATCCAACACCGCGACCGCGCGCGCGCACGCCGGGCTATCGCGCGCACTCGTGCGCTCGCGAGCGCGCGTTATATTGTTTATCGGAAATAGTTTCGTTCGCGCGCAGCATAGTTACGCGCGAGTGTCCGCGCAATGTGCGTTCGTTTCAAGAGTCCGCGCTCCTTTTTCCACTCGCGGACATTCGCTTTGTGATCGCGCGCGCGCGCGCTCGCGGAGCGGGCGAAAAAATTCGATAATTTAATTTTATCACCGTCTCAGGCCCGTGCGCGCGTCTCGATATTGTTTCGGGGTGAAAAAGCTGTATTTCTACCTCAAACAACCAGCGACAAATAACAGACTCGCTTTGTTTCAACAACGCTCTCCGCGCGCGGCGAGCGAGCGAGCGAGCGCAAAAGATCGCTCCATGCGCGGCCATGTTCTCCCTCTTTTTTCCTCTCTTTTCCTCGTTTATCGAAGCCGACTCGAAGGGCATCGGGATCGGAGCGCGATACGGACTTTAATTTGCGATCATCGCGGGCGGAATTACGAGACGCGCTCTTGATCCTGCGGCGGCGGCGGTGCTCGCGGGAGGAAACTCACGGACGGCGGCCGAAAGAGCCGCGGAGCGGAAATAAAGCGCGCCGCGGCTCCACTCGACGTCGATTAAATCGATTGTCGTCCGTCCGGCCGGTCCCCCCCGAGGCGAGGACGATAACTTGTCCGCGCTGAGGATTTTCAATCGGATCCCCGTAATCTCGCGCGCCGTCGAGTCCGCTCGCGAGATAGCGAGCGAGCGACCAAGCTGACGTCATCGCGGCGAGACGGACGACCCGCCGCCGGGAGTTGTAGTAATGTTCCGTTAATCGATAGGAAGCGTACACGCTACACTGAGCGAAAAGCGAAAGCCGAACACCTTATTCCGATCCGTGGTGCGTTCTGCTCCGCGAGTCTCGCACAAAGCGAGCGCGATTAATAACACAAGCGACTTCCACGTTCCAGCGATTATTATGCAACGACCCTCGCCGGCGCGGTCGCACACTTGGAAAGTGACCCATCCCCTCCCCCTCCTCCCCCCCCCGTGCTTTCGCCTCGTGCTCTATGCGCGTCCGCGCATTTGCTGTTTGAAACTGCGCAGCGGCAATCCGGAAACGACAATGCGTGTGTCGGACACGCAAGACCGAAGGGTGAAGAAAGAAGGAGAGCGCGTCGATCGGGGGAGCGCCGATGAAACGATTCGCGACTTCTCCGGGGACACTACTCACCTTTTCGCTTTGGGTATCCAGAGCCGAGGTGGCCTCGTCCAACAGCAGAACTCGAGGGTTCCTAACGAGAGCGCGCGCGATCGCGATCCGTTGTTTCTGCCCGCCGGACAGCTGAGTGCCCTTCGTTCCCAATCTCGTGTCGTAACCCTGAACGCAAGAGACACAGACAGATGTTTATACTCGGTGTGCATTCTCCCTCTCTCTCTCTCTCTCTCTCTCTCTCGCGGGAGGAGCGAAAAGCGCGAGAGACCAAGGAGATGTGAAGCAAAATGTGCGCGATAGGATTATTTCATATTATTATTATTATCATCGTATTATTAGGTAATCGAAAAGTTCGTACGGTTTTGATATATTATATATATATATATATATATATGAATAAATAATTGATAACTCTTCGTTGTCAACAAGGGAGAGAGATCTTCCTGAACGCGGAGCGTCTCCGAGTGATTTCAAATGATCGGCGGAAGAAATTTTGTTTAAATCACTCGTGTGTTACAACACACAGGCTTCTGCAGCTTTCCAACCGAGTTTAGATTCATCAAGCTCAAACATGCTGGAATTCAACTCGATTCAAATCTGAAAAGGGTGAGCAGTCGGAAACCAAGAGACCATGCCACAACGAAGTTTACTTAAATCAGCCGACGCGAATCCGCGCTGTGTGATACGCACGAACACGACCGACCTTCTTGGTCGCCTGATTGACATTACCATTGATATCGTCAGCATGCGAAGAGTAGTGCGTCAAGATTATCAGCATCATGTGCGATAAGACAGATAATCTGACCACGAGGTTGTATCAATTTGATAAAACGGTGAAGAGTACATGAGACAAGCTTCGGCCCTGAGCCTACCTTCTTAGCCGCGCCGTCGACTTACCAGCGGCAACGACGAGACGAAGTTGTGGATGTTGGACCTCTTGGCGGCCTCGATGATCTCGTCCATCGACGCTTGCCGATAATTGTCGCCGTAAGCGATGTTCTCGGCTATCGTCCTGTCGAAGAGCACCGGCTCCTGACCGACGACACCGAGCTGCGACCTAAGCGTGGTCAGCGAGACCGACGAGATGTCACGTCGGTCCAGCGTCACGCTGCCGGACAGCGGGTCGTACAGCCGCTGCAGCAGCTGAATGCACGTGGACTTGCCGCAACCGCTCTGGCCCACCAAGGCCACCATCTGACCCGGCTTCACAATTAGATTCAACCCTTTGAGCACCTGCACTTCCGGCCGCGTCGGGTACTGGAACTCGACCTTCGAGAATTGAATCATCCCGTCCGCCTTCTGCGAAGTAAACACACGCAAAGCGTCCCGTTAGCCGAGCGGCTAAACACACGCGCGTCAATCCCGCGTTTTCTTTCATCTGCCCCTTCCCTTCAGTGCCCCTGCGACGAGATGCTGCTTTTCCTGCGAGCCTTTGCCGCGACACGAGGAAGTGATGGGGGGGGAAACGAGCGAGAAAGTTTCTTTTTCTCTCCTTCTCCTTCCTCTCTCTCGACTTCTCGTCGGAGCATCATCGGAGCAATTGTCGGAGCAACGGGTCGTTACGCAGCACGCGCGCAGTAAAATAAATCGTAATTCGGAGATACTTAACGAGAGCGCTACGCTTCATTTAATTCACGCGGAATATGTCCTCGGAAAGTCCTCGGCGCGTTGACGCGCGCGGCGGGATCAGTCGGGCTCTCGGTTCCGCGTTTCGCCGCGCGTAATTAACGAAATGCTGTTCCGACTGCGCCGTCAAACTGCGCCGTAAATTTCTGACGGATGCTGTAACAACACTTGCGCGGAAAACATTTTCGCCGCCGCGAGCGCGGAGCAAGAGATGCAAGAATTTTGCATCACCGGCGATCGGCCGATGTAATCACTCGATTAGCCGAGCCTCGGACTTGCGCCATGTTTCTTGCGAACCATTGAAATTGTTGACGAGCCGCGCTACGCGCGCGGTTACGCGATTCGTTTGTCGAGCAGTTGTTTGAGAATGCACGCCGCGCGTGCATTCCCTCGAGCTTCGACAAAAATCCCGTTAACGATACCGTGATGCGCGCGATCCAAGGATACCGTGCACGCTCCAGGAATACCTTGCGCGCGTCCTTGTATAATATAACGGATCCTCTGCGTCTCGCGGGAAAGATATTCCGCCGCTCGCTCCGATGCGTTCAGCTCCGTCGCGTTTGAATCATTCGACTCGCTCGGACTGTTCTACGTCGGATTCTTCGAGGGAGGATGAACGGGCGATGATGAAACGCAACAATGACGTCGCGGCGAGATACAAGTCGGCGGGACTATTGTGATCGTACGATTCGACCGGGGGAATTTAAACGTGTCGTGTTCAATGCGGAGGAAAATGTCGGTCAACTTTGCCGAGAAACTAATTAAAAGTTGCAACTAATTGCACGCGCCCCGCGTCTTATCGCGACTCCGCATTCTTCGGCGCACTTCTCGACTCTCTCCACCTCGGCGGGAGAATTTAATTGGATGTCTCATCCCTCGTGACTTCATTATCATCCGACGCTGAGCATCTTGGCGATCGGACCGGGCCAGCCGCCGATCTCGTCTCGCGTCTCGCGGAGACTATTCGTTCACTCGGTGTACACGATCGTCGGAATCGGGGAAGATGGCGGCTGCAGCAATGCCCGAGACGCGTCTCGCACACGACGGCGGGTTTGCGCGTCGCTGAGCGCAACGTGTCTCGGATAAACTCACCCAGTTCGCGTTCTTCTCTTCCGATCTATACGGCGAGGTAATCTGCGGCATTCGGTCGAGCAGCCTGAAGATCCTGCCGGCTGAGATCTTGGCCATGTTGAAGTTGGGCGCGAACGCGAGCGCCTGGCCGAGCATCCACGAGCCGAAGATCAAGGCTTCCGACACCTTGATGACGTTCTGATAGGCCAGGCCCTCCCTGGCCACCAAGTAGCCGCCGTAATAGAGACTCACGGCGTATCCCAGGAACGGCGCGGTCTGTCCGCACGAGAACACCAGGCCCCTCAGTCTGTTGCGCGTGCGGGACGCTTTAGCGACGTGGTTCAGCTCCACGCAGTACCTGTTGAAGAAGGCGTCCTCCTTGCCGAGGCTGGCGACCGTTCGTATGTTGGAGATCGCCTCGACGGCGATCCGGGTCGCCGCCTCCATCTTCTTCTTCTCCCGCATACCCTGTTCGCTCATGATCCTCGCCTCGAGGAACACCGCGCCGAGCACCAGCGGGATCGACACCACCGAGACCAGCGTCATCTTCCACGTGAAGTAAAAGGACAGGCCGATGCCGAGAACGAGGGTCGACATGGCTTGCAGGATCGCGCCCACGCGACTTCCGGTCGCACCCTGGACCGCTCCGGCGTCCGACGACAGCCGGGCGCACAGAGCGCCCACGCTGTTGACGTCCTCGTCGTACCAGCCCATCTCTTGCTTCAGCATCGCGCTGAAAGCGAGCTTCCGGATCCGCGTGGTCATACGCACGCCGGCCAAGCCGAACATGTACATCTGCAGGAAAGTGCCGAGGCCGGTGAACACGCCGACGACGATGAACATGATGGAGAAGTTGATGGTCTCCTTGCGGATTTCCTCCTCGTCCTGGAGACCCAGCACCTTGTACACCTCGCCGAACAGCATGGCGAACGCCGGGAAGGACGCGCCCACCATCGTCGCGGCGATGCTCCCTGCGTGTGAGAGAAACGCGTGCGAAACGTTATGCGGGATCATTCGGTCGCACTCGGCAATCGCGCCGAGGACGGCACGAGCGGGCGGGCGGGGTTTCTCGTGGAGAGAGTGGAAGGAATTCGGAATTGGAAGTGAATACTCTCTCTCTCTCTCTCTCTCTCTCTCTCTCTCTCTCTCTCTCTCTCTCTCTCTCTCTCTCTCTCTCTCTCTCTCTCTCTCTCTGTGATGTACAATCGTGAAGTAATTTCAGCCGAGTAAAGGCTGAAACGCGTCGCTTTAAAGCGACGAATTTCATTTGGAACTTTTAGTTAATTGGAACTTTCCTTACTTCGGATTAACTTTCGGTTCCAATTAACTCGCGGCGCGGCAGATTGAACTCTGTGTCTAAGAATTTAATGTAAATTCAATATAGGAGGTCGCGCGGTTAATCGGCTCCGCTTTCCGAGCATCTTCGATCATCTGCCGCAGACTCATCGCGATTTCCTCTCGAGCAGTCTGTTCAATTAATATCGTCCACTAAAACGGGAGATCGCTCTGATGAAAGAAGCAGCAGATCACACAATTACCGATCAGGTTGTACGGCCACTCCGGCTTGTTCAGTCCAAATATCCTCATGATAGGCGCGTTGTAAGGTTTCTCCTGCTCCTCCAGTTCCTCCTCCGTGGCGTCTGACTGGCCGGTGAGGGATAGTCGATGGGAATGAGCGGACAGTGTCGAGAATTGTTTGGTCAGAGGCGGCTTCGCCTTCATCTTCGGGGACATCATCTTGGCGACGGTCGTCGCGGTTTTGGCTAATAATACGAAGAATAACGGGCGAGATTAACATCATTTTCGCGGCAAATGCCAGGCCACCTACAACAGGCGCTCTCGCTCGCACTCGATACGCACCCTTGGCGGTAGCGCTCGCGTCGGCGGCGACCAGGCCGTAATAGTGTTTCCCAAGTGCCAGCAGTTCCTCGTGAGTCCCCTCCTCCACGACCACTCCGTCCTTGATAAATACGATCCTATCCGCGTTTGTGATCGTGGAGAGCCTGTGAGTGACTATAATCGTCGTTCTACCCTTCGACGCGGCGTCGAGGGCTCTCTGCACGGTCGCCTCGCTGTGAAGATCCAAAGCAGAAGTCGCCTCGTCCAGCAAAAGGATCGCCGGTCTCCTGACCAGAGCACGCGCGATCGCGATCCTCTGCTTTTGTCCACCGGACAATTGAGAGCCTCTTTCGCCCACCGGGCTATCGTATCCCTAAACGTGAAGACGACGATTTTTTTCCTTATCACCGCGTTCTCTGATCGGGTCGATGATATACACGTTACCGCGCGACAGTTCCGCGACAGCGATTGGGAGCATTTCGAGAGGGACGAACCGCCGCGCCGGCCGCGAGTCGAAACATTTCGGTCTCGGTCGATGTACTTTCTCGGTACAACCCTCGACGTGGGAGGGTCCTTGTTCCCCGAGCCCTCTCTCGATTTTTCTCCCGGCAACAATTTTACCCGAGTTTCATTCAAACCCGCAAGAATTGCATCGCGCGAGCGATCGCTCGCGCGCACGCTTGTAATGCACGCAGGTGTGAGCACGGCGATGCCGGCCGCGATATGGTGGGAGGGGAGGGAGGAGGGGGGGTGTATCGGGCCATCAATTGGCCGGCGGCAGTTTTCGAGCGATTTGCGGTTTGAAATAACGGTTATTTAATCAACGGAGAAACAACGTGTCACACCTGCAGCGCATACGCAACGCGCGCGCGCGCGCGCTTTAATAAATCCACGCGCGCGTCGCCGCGACACGTTCGCTGATAACGACGTCCGTCCGTCCGTCCGTCCGTCCGTCCGTCCCTCGGAGCTCGGCGAGCTCGCGCGCCGAACGTGTATCGCATTTGTCGTCGCGCGGCGAAACAAACAAGAAAAAAAAAAAAAGAAAAAGGATAGCGTTTCCCGTCGACCAAAGACCGTCGCGTCGGTCGTTTCCTCCACGGGATATCGCGCGGGATGCGAGCGCGCCCGAGAGTCCGACGAGCGATTTAACGAATAAAGCGATAACGACCGCGGCCGCGCGCCCGTAATCCGGAAATATTATCGCGGCGATGCGTACGGAAAGCATTCAATTATAGCGCTGATAAACTTACACGGATTATGTATATAATGTTATATAACGCACGCACGCACGCACGCACACATCTGCGCTTACGCGCCTCTCACTTTTCCAACTGCGCGCGCGCGCGCGCAGATATGCAATTCAGGATAAATCCCCCCTGCGTGCGAACGCGACAGCGCGGGGATCCAACGGGAGCATAGCCAGTATCGAATTCACCCGCCGATAATCCGCTAATAAACGCCTAATCGTTGACATACAGGCGTAATCTCGGATAATGTTATTTGGCCCTGCGTGCACGCGTTTAACACGCATGTTTTATCGCCTGTTTGCGCGCTGTGTACTGCGCGAGAGCTGCACCGGCCGCACCTGAGACTATTGTTAACACATCGCGACCAATACGCGGCCGATGACAACCCCCTCCCCCCGGCTACATCCGGCCAGGGAATTATCCTCGGAACGAGAGGAAGCCATCATCGCGGCCGGCCGGCCGGCCGGAAGAAGGAGCCGCGCCGCGGCTGTATTAAATCCCGCTACGTCGAGTGGACGCGTTTCATTCATCGCGCCTTCGCCTTCGCCTTGGCGGAAAAATCACGCGCTTTTCAGTCCTGCGGGATTCTAACGAAATCGTGCGGCTCCCACCCCATCCCAATCCCCTCATCGGCCGATCGCGGTGATCGCGTTCGTTTGTTATATCTCCGCGCGACACCGCAATCACTCTCGTATATTTCTCGAGTATCTCGGCGGCGAAGTTTAAGCGCTCGCCGTTGCGCGTGACTTCGCGCAACAATGGTCCCCGGGCGAACTGCGACCGTTTCGTGACTAGTTCGAAGTAATCAAGATACGCGATCTGAGGAGGACAGAAAGAGAAGGAGGGAGGGAGAGAGAGAGGGAGGGGAGGAGGAGAGACACGGTATTCGAAGGCGGCGGGAGCGAATGAACGAACGAACGAACGAACGAACGAACAATATCTTCGTTGGGTTTTCAATCACACCGAGACGGTGACACGCCGGCGTATTCGCCGTCTCTGTGAATCTTTCCCGTCGAAACTGGCTGAATCAATCGAACTCGCGCCTAGCACGACCAAAAGGACGGCATAATTCCGGGCGGGCAAAGGGCGCGGCTGGAATACGAGAAAAGGCACGGCGCTGCCGGCACTCACCTCCGGCAGTTTGCTGATGAAGTCGTGAGCGTTCGCTTCCTTCGCGGCTTTGATCATCTCCTCGTCGGTAACGCTGTCATTTCCGTAGCGGATGTTCTCCCGTATCGTCGTGTCAAAGAGCACAGGCTCCTGGCCGACCACGCCGATGTGCGAGCGCAGCCACTGAACATTCAGCTTCGACACGTCGATCCCATCCAGAAACACCTGCGAGCAAAAACACGGCGAACCCTTGAAGATTGTCTCTCTCTCTCTCTCTCTCTCACACACACACACACACACACACACAGACACACATAGAGAGGCGGCACAGGCGGCGAAGTAACGCGCGAATGCCGCGCGAAACGGAAACGCGACAGTCGAGACGGACGAGATGATAACCGACGCGCTGAGGTGTTATTTGTTTGAAAGCGGATATCGCGTTAATTAATCTAGCTCCAGTATGCGAGATAATCTCGTTCGAGTTATTATCGCGCGCAGCGGTCAGCTGCTGGCTGGCTGGCGGCGTCTTGCGAGATCGCTGGTAAACTGTGAGTTTACAGGCATATCGAAAGCGCGAACGCGCGACGTGTCCGTCGCGTCGGCGGCAGAGTCCGCAGCGTGCGAATCGTAAAACGTTTATTACACGAGCGCGCAGAGCCCGCCCTCGTCGCGTTAACTCCCGTTTCCCGTGTTTGCCACTCGGCAACGTCATAAAAATCGCACCGACGTTAACGGCAAAATTGGCGGCAGCCTCCTTCGCCCTTCGCCGCCGCGGCGCGGCCCGATCGAGTGGCCGGTAATTTAGCCGGTTATCGATCGCTCGCGGACGAAAAGAAGCCCGGCGGCTAGCCACCGTCGCGAATTTCCTCCGCTGTGAAAATATGAACGGGATAAGTGAGCCGATATCGGACGATAAAATGACGCCGTCGATCCTCGCCAGGGCGGGTTACCTGGCTCTCTGCCTGGCCAACCTTACCTATCTACCTACCTACATAATACAGACGACGGAAAATATAATAATACGGCCGCGGCTGATGGCCGTAAAACAATTATTTTCTTAATAACGTCAAGTAAATTACCGTAGCGCGCGCGCTCAGCCATTTATTCCCCGCGTCGGCGTAATTTCGCGACGGATAAAAACGTCATCTCGGACATTTACAACGCGCTATTTACAGCGCGCCGGTTATTAACTTCGTCGCCCGCGTGACAGCGCGTATCGCGGTTGCGCGTGTCGTCGCGATTTCGCGACGGCGGTGAGATTTCCCCGATTCTTGGGAATCCACCGCGTGTTCCGCGTCGCCGTTCTCTCTCTCTCTGTCTCTGTCTCTGTCTCTGTCTCTGTCTCTCTCACCTGGCCACCGACGGGGTCGTAAAGGCGCTGGATGAGCTGCAGACAGGTGGACTTGCCGCAACCGGAGCCGCCGACGAGCGCCACCGTCTCGCCGCGGTTGATCCTCAGGTGCAGCCCGCTCAGCACCTGCACGTCCTTCCGCGCCGGATAGCGGAACTCGACGCCCTGGAACTCGATGTCGCCGTGGACGGACTGCAGCTTCTCGCCGTCGGCGCTGAGGCTGTCGATCTCCGGCACGCGGTCGAGCACTTGGAAGACCGCGGCGGCCGAGCCGCGCGCCATCGCGAACGCCTCGAGATGCGGCGAGGTGAGACCCATGTTTTGCGCGCCCGACAACACGCCGAAGAACACGATCACCAGCACCGCCGGCGTGTACTCCTTGTAGTCCTTGGGCCGGTCGTCCAGGATTAATTGCAGGCCGTACCTGTGTGTCACAAGAGGCGGACTCTGCTCTTTTTAACCGTCACGTGATCCTGCGCGCGCGCGCGCGCGCGCGTCATGCTCTTCGCATTTCGAAGCTCATCAATTATATTATATCTTATCGGCCGCGCCGGTTTCTCGCCGGTTACTCTTAGCTCTTTGCTGCCGAGATAATGACGCTCGATCAACGTCCAGAGAGATCTCGTTTTCTTTTTTCCTGCTTTTTTTTTCCAGCACGGCTAAATTTAGCCTGCCGATCGAAGCACGAGTTATACGAGCTCGACGTCGGAGACGTCGGACGAGACAACGCGGGTTCCTTCAACGTACCAAAAGGCCAACGCGTAGCTGAGGTAGATGATGAGCCACATGACGCCACCGCCGACCCCTGACCACATGCCCCTCCTGATCCCGGTCCTCTCCGCGGGCACGAGCTTCTCCGCGTATCTCTCTACCTCCTTCTGCTCGCCGTTGAACGCCACTACGGTGCGGATTGCGCCGAGGACCTCCTCGGCGACGTTGCCGGCCTGGCCGTAAGCGGCCAGCTCCAAGGCCGACAGAGAGCTCTGCACCTTAGCGACGATGGCGGTGGCAATCACGATGATCGGTGCGCAGCTCAGCACCACCAGGGTCAATTTCCAGCCGTAGACGAAGGAGATGATGATCGAGGCGGTGAAGGAGCTCACCAGGTAGATGAAAATACCCAACTTCTCGCCTATGCCGTCCTTCATCTTGTCCAGATCCCTGCCAAACAAACGCCGGCGAAAATCAGCCGATTGAGCGACAAGTCTGTCAGATTACAATCTCGCTGCACCGACAGCGAATTGTTTCGCGCGCGCGCTTATCGCCGCTCATAGTTATCGTCATGATCGTAATCTCGTCTCGCGGCGAGACTTTAGTCACCTGTTTTACGTAACGTGTGTAACAGCTGCAACCGGACGCTCGATGCGCGCTGATTACTGGGATCTCGGGACAGAATTACGATGAAGAGGAGTTTCACTCTTCGGACGACAAGAAACGCGAGTCGCTCGTTACGGGTGTCATCGTCGCGTTGAGAGACTTTAAACGCTCGCTCTGCGAGCGGATGGGTAGGCTTTGCTCTCTTGTATTTCGTTTTTTTTTTTTTTTTTTTTTTTTTCTTTCATCGACAGTCTGCGCATTTCGATTTCGACAAGGCGTGAGGGAGCGGAAGACGGAATCGCGATGGCCAAGCTCGCGAGGCAAAAACGAAGACTCCGAGCGTTCGCGCGCGACGCGGTACTAATAACTTAATACGAGTGCTCCTTCAATTACGACTGTACGACGTAACACGGGCGGGAACAGAGACAGCGCGGGAACAGGCTCTTCGCGAACGCCCACCTGTTGATGAACACACCGGTTCTCGCCTCCTGAACTTTGCTCCGCGCTCTTCCTCATATCCGCCGCGTTTACGTCGCCGCGGCCTCGAAAATCGAAGGCGCTCCCCCGTTTGAGGACGCGCGTTCGCCGAGCTTGCGAATTATTAGCTCACGACCGAAATTATTTCACAAGGGGGAGAGAGATCGTCACGCCGAACTCATGTTGACTCTGCAATTTGTATTTTTATTCTCGACGTCGGCCCCGCGACATTCGCTTCTTCCGGCTTTCTTAGACGAACAAACAGCTCGCGCGCAGCTCTGGTCTACGTTTTTCGCTGACGTCTTCGCGTGAGTCAGCGCGCGATCGCTCTCGATCTCGGCAAATTTCCCGGATCTGAAGAACAGCTCACGAACGAGCGAGGCGATTGCGAGGTGACCATTCAGCGCGTTATCATTCCCGTCCGCGCGAGTACAGCGCATCTCAAGTCATCGCGCGCGCATTTTCGATCAAGTCGCTCGCCTTATCAGCGATGAGTATCGAAATCGGAAGATACTGTATCTGCGATACTGACTGCGATCGCGATCGCGATCGCGATACAGCAAGGAGACTCACTCGGTGATCCTGCTGGCGAAGTTTGTCGACGTGTTCGTGTCGTACCACGTCATGTCCTGCCTGAGCACGGCCCGCAGGAATATCTTGCGCACCCGAGCGATCTGTCTCGTGGCGGCGAGGTTCAGCAGATCGATCGCGAATATCGCGACGACAAACTGAATGAGCGACACCATCGTGCAAGCGATGCCGAACGCCGCCGCGTCCTCATAGAGAGCGTCCATCCTTTCCTCCTTCGATGCGTTCACTCTGAAAATCAACGCCGTCCTCTTGACCTCGCGACGTCAATCGCAGGATACGCGCGCTACGCAGCGATCCGCCCACGCGATATACTTACAAGACTCTTCCACCCCCGAAAGCTCGCAGTATGAGAGTCGGCGTGCTCGTGTGATTCTCCATATTGCGGTCCACCAACAGCGTGCTAAACTCGCCGTACTCGATCGTGGCGATTGGCAAGCAGAGGCCCACTAAGACGGCCATGAAGAGGCCGGTGGCGACCAACATCAGCTCGCTGCATGTCGCGTATCGAAACTGTGTTCGTTTAAATGTGATGTAATTATTACACTTCGATAACGCGCAAGCATTACGCGTTACGCGCAACGCGGCATTCGACACGACCGCGCGCGATTCGTCTCCGGACGGCGCGACTCTCCTTTCTCGCGGGATCTCTCTTGTCTTTATGAATTGTCGAATTGTCGAAATATCGCTCTGGGCTGAGCTGCGAGGAGGAATATGATTTATTATACCGAAGTTAAGGCGTTCGAAAGTTTCACGAGCACCCGTTTCCGCGTGATTCAGCGCGCGTTTTTCAATGATTCAGCAGCGGCGCGAATTCGCAAATTTCCGAGAGACTTAACTTGCAAAATTAATACCCCGACTAACAATGATTAACGAGCGAGCACGCGCGGGCTGCGCGAGTCCCGCGCAAAAACACAATCATGATCGAAACTCGTATTCACTCGAATTCTCGCGCGGCGGCGCCGCCGCCGCGCGAGAGAGGAAGAAAAAAGGGAAACATCTCGCGGCCAAAAGGGGGAGGATTCGCGCGAGTCTCACCGAGAGATATAACGCGGAAAATTATTCGCGACATGTCCCACGCGCTATTACTCGTTAACCGTCGTCTGTCATACGCGCGAGAGCGCGATCGTTAATCACTGTCTCGCAATTGGAGAATGCCGGCGCGAGATCGAGAGGAAAGCAACATCCGTGACGGTCGAACCCTCCCGCCGGAGGGAATGCATGTTCCATTTTGTTCAGGACGCCGTGACAGCGCCGTCGTCGCGGAAGAGGCACTCTCAGGGTGTCTCCGTCCCCTCATACCCCCCCCCCCCGGCTTCGAGGTCGCTTTGCTGGCTTCTTTTTGTGTAGTTAGCTTCTTAAATGGAGACATTAAGGCGTCTCTTTCGCGAATCGCGACTGCCTCTTCGGGCAATCAGATCGGCAGCCCTCGTCGAGTGAATTTCTAAACGCGCGGAAGAACGAGGGGGGGTGGCTCGTATCGCTCTGCGCCGCCCCGGGACACCCCGTGCGCCGCGTCGCTCGAGTGTATCGGCCTCCGCCAAGCGCGCGTCGCGCTTGAAATTCGCCCGGAGGCGCCCCTCGTAAATTATGACCGCGCAAAAACTCACGAGCTGGTAATAAGGCACTGGTGGCGGCAATGGCGGCTTCGAAGCTGGTTTGTCATCCTCCTGCTTCGTCTGCGGCGGCGCAAACTCCCTGCGGACAGAAAGCGCACAGGTCGAGCACTGATGAAAATTCCTCGCCGTTAAAGCCGGAGCTGTTCAAGCGAGCGACTTAGCCCGGCGCTTCTCCGCGCCGCGCGCTCTGCGCGCTCCGCTCGCTCGAATCGCGCGCGCGCGCGCGCGCGCGCGGCGGTTCTTAGCGGCGCGGCCGGGTGGCGGGGTGACATCCCTGCGCGAGGGTGACGTAATAATAAGCGCGCAGCGCGCTCAATTCGCGAGGGAACGCGCGACTCACTCACGAGTCGCCGCCGCTGGTGGTCCCTCGAGTCGAAACAACGAGAACCCGGCGCGCTCCTCGCGAAGGGCTGCTCCGCCACTCGAAGGGTTAAGAATCGCCACACGCTGGAGGCTACTTCACGGCGGCCGGGATCGCGCGTGGCGGCCCACAAAGGAATTGAGCGACAATCGGGCGACAATGCGCTCGCGCCTTGGCGGAAGCGGTAGGACGAAGCGAGCCATCGAGAAGCAGCCTCGCAGAAAAAAAGCATGCGTTTGCCCCGGACGCGAAACCATATACAGCCTGTGTGAAAGTTTCACACGGGGCTCCCCAGCGGCTGCGGCGGTATCGAGGCGTTAATAAGAGCCGGCCGGACGATCCGTTAATTAAGTCAAGTGCGGCTCCACTGTCTCGTGTTTTTTTATCTGTGCCGAGACGCACGCTCGTCGTACAATCTGTAACAAGCTCATTCGTACATCGCTTTGCCATTTCCCTGTAGCATGTATTCGGCTTCATGTTTATCCTTCTCCTTGTCTCGTTGTGTGTCTGAAATGAGACATACCGTACTGAAATGAGGGTACCGTACACACACACACACACACACACAGAGTCTCGGAACAGCCGCCAACAAGCGCTACGGGTGTCGTAAATAATCTATCCGCGATTTTCTCTCTCTCTCTCTCTCTCTCTCTCTCTCTCTCTCTCTCTCTCTCTCTACAAGTGGCGATTCACGCGCGATTTGGCTCATCTCAAGCGTGAACACGTGCGCGACGATGCAGCGACGAGCATCGAAACGCTCATCGCTACTCGATGCGATATTTTCATGCACGCCCCGTGTCGCGTGTCGCGCGTGGTTGGATTATTATGCTTCTTAATCGAAAGGATGAAATAACAAGCGAGGAGAGTGGAGAAAACAAACGATAAGCTGATTTCGGGAGATCCGCGCGCGCGCGCGCACGCGCGAAAAGCGATGGAGCGTGTTCGCCGGTCGGTCGGTCGTGTAATCAACGCGGCACTGTCGATTCCGTCTCTCTCCGACGGGGGGGATTACTCGACAAATGGCGCTGCGGCGGAGCTGCGATTTGCCGGGAATCGTAAATCGAATGTAGGGACCTTCGTAAATCGGCAATTTAAAGATCAACGAGGACGTACGGAGCTTCCGGCAACTCGGCGGGCGCCGGGCAAAAACGGGATCTACGGCAAGTTTCGACGTCGTCGCAGAGCCCGGAGCCCGAAGAGTAGTCTTGGATGAGAGACTTTGGCGAAAGTCGGCCGGCATCTCTCCGCGGGGGCTCCATTAGCGGCGTAATTGCTGTTAGAAACTCCCCCGACAAATCTACGATCGGCGCGGAATATAGGAAGCTTTGCCACCTGAAGTAATGACAGTGCCGTAGTCACGTGTGTGCGTTCTTCCTCGCGGAAAATTCGCCACCGCCGCCGCCGCCGCCGCCGCCGCCGCCGCCGCCGCCGCCGAATGAGCGCGGAATCGTGAGAAATCGCATCGCGGAGAGTAGGTAAACGTCACGCTCTCGCGAGTCGTTTTTCCGAGCGACTCAAGAGCGTGCTCGAGCGCGAAACGCGTTGAGCGTTCGCCGCGAACGTCTCTCGCGTCGTGTCATGCTGAAGTTCCCCTGAATATCTTCGCGCGTATTTATGCAATTGCACTCTCGAGAGTCGAAACGAAATTTTCTTCCCCCGCTGTGATTCTCCGCGAAACACTTTCGTTTCCTTCAATCTTTAGCACGAGGGCGCCCGCGAGGAGTCGCGCGGAACGTGATCGGATTATTGTCGCGTTGTATTCGCGGAAGAGTATATTCCCTCTCGCAAGTACCTTATCGGATTTTACGCGAGCAAACGGATATCTCGACAATGCACTCGAATGTGCGCTGGTACGCTGCGCGCGTGTCGTTTCGTTTCGTTTCGAACGTGTCCGGACCGCAACTCTGATCGCGAAGGTTTCCTGCTACGGCACTGCTCGGCGCTGCCCTCCCCTCTCCCCTCCCCCCCCCGCCGCCTCCCTCCCTCCCTCCCCGCCCCCATACTTCACAGGACGTCGTCCTGTAACCGATCGCCTCCCCGGGAAACTTTCTTAGTCGCGACTCTCGAGAAGGCAGCCACGAACGAATGCCAGTCCTCTCGCGGAATTTCAAGTGAGACATTTAGTACCCCTTAATACATTTATCCTGACAAGCCGTAAGTTAATTGAATAATTCGTGGACTACTTTTATCGCGACGACTTCAAGTGAGATCCAATCCCCCGCGGGGGGAGGGGGAGGGGGAAGGGTCGCGCTCGTTGGGTACATTGGGTGGTCCGTTCGTTCGCAAAGTGGATGGTAAAACTATGTTAGTATCAATGAAAACTTTTCCCTCCGCGATATCGCGATAGCCTATGAGTGTACGGTTGAGCCCATTCGTACTTCGATCGCGAAGTTTGCGTATAATAGCCGGCGGTAACTTTCGGCGGAGAAATCATACTATATCACGATTCTATTATCACCGGCAGCACCGGCTGTGCGGTAGAAAGAGCATAATAATCCAGGACGTTCAGCACGCGTTTTTACATGTCGGAGTAATACGGAATTCCTCTTTTTCTCCTACAAAGCGGCTAGACAAAGCGGCTGGACGAGGAAGCGGGTAGACAAAACGGCGACATCTTGTCGACGCGATAAACGCGCCCCTCTTATCTTGCAGCAGCGATCGCTCATTTTCTGTGAGCTTGAGATCCGCAACGAGGAATCATAAACATTTTGTTGCGACGAATTGTGTACGAATCAAACGCGTTCTTTTTCACCAGGTTGAGCACACGCGATCGTATCGTGATCACTACTTCATACTTATGCATCGGCACTAATCACGATCGCGCCGAATTCAAGTCTAATAAGCGGCACGCACACACGTGTGCGCTCGCGCAGTCGTTACAGTCGATAAGACACAACAGCACCGAAGACTAGTCACGTTTTCAGTTCTCTGACTCTAGTCACTCCAAGCGGTTTGTATTGTGCGTTACGTAAGCCGAGTGGCGTTTCATTGGGTCGTGAATATATCCATGAGTAAACTCGGCTACCGCGATTCATCGCTCGGATTAGTTAACCCTTTACATCCTGAATTAATTCACCTGAGATTCTTACTAGATTTTTATGTAATTAAACAGTTTTCGGGATTCTAAAGCACTGGCATTCATAAGTACTGGCAGGAATGTAGAATAAGGCAAAAAAAGTTCAGAACCATATGAGAAAAGAGGTTGAGAAACCATATGAGCGTTTAAATAGAGCGGTACTTTTAAGTGCCATCTCGGAATGTGAAGGGTTAAGCAACGCAACTCTTCTCTTTCTTTCGTTGACATTAAAGACAAGACACACAGTTGCGCACGTATAGCTCGATGAGGGGGGGGGGGAAGCGAATCGTCGGGAGCTCATTCGACCCAAACTGCCAAAAACAATTCGCTTGGAATAAGCTCTGCTGATATTGAAACGAATGAAAAGTATATGGGATTTTTAAGAGTCTGGATCTTGCGCGGTAAAATCGAAAACGAAACACACTCGTGGAGCCAAGGATGTCGCTTTATTCTTATCTGTTATCGTGAGAAGCAGCTCGGCGATTCTTCGCGAGAGATCGAACACCAGGCGCGTGTTTCGTTTGTCGATTTGATTTACCCTGTGAGATCCGTGTGCAGGCTCTCTCAAAGGCCCCTCTGACACCCTTCGTTTCAATCCGAAGTACGCAACCGCATCCTTAACGCGAAAACGCCACGATCGAACTCGCTGCGAAGCTAATCGTCGAGCGAGCAAACACAAACGACGCTCGGGCGATTTGTTAATACTTACACCTCGACAGGATCTTTGCCTGGGGGTGGCAGTTTGATTTGAATGTCACCATTGGAGTATCCTGAGACGTCTCGCGGGGACTCGTGGACCACGGGTAAACTTGCTGTGTCATTGCGCATTCTCAGCTAATAACTCTGCAATCATACGAGAAGACGGCGAACAGTCGTATAGTACTCTGCGATGGAAACTCTAATGATGTGGCTGCGAATGCAATTAGCGATAGTACAGCAATTACAACCCGTGTTCTTCAAGGGAAGTGCGTGGCGAGGGAACCTCGCGGGGCAAGATGACGTCACACCGGCCGTGACGTCACACGACGACGTCACGCACACGTTTTAGTATAAGCAAAGGTCACCGTGTACACTTTCCGTGCAATATAAGATTGGGACGATGTAAGGCTTCGACCAATTGCGTTGCTCAATTCGGCCGTCCGTAACTGTTATTTGAAACAAGCAACGCGATTGGTCGCGGAACCTCACTGTACGAACAGTACGCAGTCTGATGGACGATCACACCGTTCTTACTGCCAGTTCTTTATTATCAGCTGATATTTTGCTTGATTTCCGCAACAGTTGCGTGAAAAGTTACAGTCTGGATTCCGCGTGTTATCGCACATTATCGGGCTTCACCGGCGGGACGCCATGTTAAGATATACAGAAGTTAATTTTGAACTGCTCACAGATATCGATGTAGTTATCGATGATGTTTATCGACCGCGGTATTCGCGGCGGCCTGGGTCAACGTCAACAGGAAGATGTTAAGAGCAACGTGTTATGGCACGAACTATAACGTTCGATGATTATACGCAATGCTTGAGGGAAGAAAGTGAGACGAGTCGCGGCGGCAACCGTGCGCAAGATCAAAGTTACACAAAGCGGTTATATGGTGGTTATATTCGACTCGCCCACCCGCGCTCCCCTCGGAGGACCCGGGTAAGAATTGGTGTGTCACCCAACTACTGACGCAAAACTCGATTCTTGCGACCGACGTCTCATTAATCTAACGAACAAACGTTCAACCTTCTTCTTCTCGCATCCCGCATCGCCGCTTCGTTCGTCGGACTCCTCGTCTCGCGTGCCTCGCGCGATTTCACGTTGACCGAGTCCTCGACTCGGCACGAGTCGACGCCGAGGAACGAACTTCTCGTCGGCGGGAACCCAGCCGGAGCGCGGAGAAAACGAGCAACTCGCGCCCGGCCGAAATCGCCCGCGAAATCCATACCCGCAATTAGTCATGTTACAGCGCAAATAACGCCCCTATTTACTCTCGCCATTATCCACTACATCATATGTTTGCGCGCCGAAACAGCCAATCTAAACAATGATTAGACTCCACGGCGCGGCGGTTGCGTTAATTAATCGACCGCAGCTCGCATTAGTATCGGCGCAACTCTCGACGAAAATTCGCTCCGCGTCCCGCTCTATTAGCGAATATCTTGTTCCCCACGTCGGTCGTCCGGTCGTCGAGCGTAGAGCGAGACGTCGCTCCGCTTCCTTCCGTCGATACGCCGAATAAAGCGAAACTTTATCCTCCCGACGGATCGACGACTTTTCCGATATGCAAATGCGATATCGGGTTCTCGTGTCGTTAAGAGGAAACGACGACGACGACGACGACGACGACGATGAGGAGGATGACGGTGGCGTGCGGCCGACATCGCGAAAACGGATCGACCGACCAAGGACGCTCGTGCCTCAGGCTGAAGGCTTTTAAAATCGCGGTATGAAAAGGGACGGACGAAGAAGACTTCGTTAGTCTACCGGACAAAAAGAAGAAAGAAACCGACGACGTCGTAGGATCGAGTGAGCGCGTTCGGGCCGGCGCGTGACGATTACGCGAGCACGCGACGAAGCGGCATCTATGATCGCGCGCTTGCGATCAATCAGGTTACTTCCTCGCGGCAGTCGGACAGTGTTTTTCCTGCGCCGCTGAATATTTCGTCCTGCGCGACGGGACCACCGCGTCTCTCCTCTCGTGGCCGCGGGCGCTCGAGGAAATACGGAATTCGCGCCCTCGCCTCTCACAGAACGGCACAAATCCAAATAGTCTGTTTAGCCCGGAAAAAGAAAAATCGCTGCGGTGTCTTCCTGGATGTTTTCCTCTCTCTCTCTCCTTTCTCTTTCTCTTTGCGACGTCTCCCGAGAGTGTCTAGGCGCCGAATGTTCGCAGCGAGAGAACTTGGTATCTTCGCAAAGTCCCGATACCACGCGAGTTGAAGCGCAACTCGAAGGACCGGCGCGTAACCAGGCGGAACGACGTGACATTCATTAACACGACTTATCTCTGTCTCCAATTAGTGACATCTCCCCGCCTCGGGCGCCGAGTATAAATCGCTCGGCGAGTCGCGTCGCGTAGCGTCGCGGCCGGATGAAGCTGCTCGGAGCTGCTGCGCTCGAAGAGGAGACTTCGTCTCTCTCCCGCGGAAGACGCGGTATGCCCGCTCCTCCCCGCCTCGGCGCGGTGCCTCGTTAGTGCCGTATCATCGTATCGTTATCGATTCCGTCGGGTAGAATGAAGCACGGATAAACGAGCCGAGACACCGCTCGAGAATTAATCGTCGAATCGCGCGCGGTAAGAGGGAAGCTTCGTTCCTGTCGCTTTAACTAACGAAGCCCCTGTGTTTCCTGTTCGATATTGAAACGTCGCGGATATTAAGTACTCGCGAAAGAGAGCAAGAGGGAGGGCGAGGAGGCGGAGACAGGAGACGGCGCGTACACCGCGCCAGCTTCAGATTATCCTATTTCACGGTAGGATTTTCCGATTTCATTTGTCTCCCCGGCCTTCAATAAACCGTCTACGCGCGCGCGCGCGCGCGCGATCCGCTCGCTCTCGAACGAACGAACGGAGCTTTTTTCCTACCGCTCGAACTGTGTGTGACTCGGGAGAGTTTATAAAATTTTCCCCTCGTCCCAATTGATCCAAGCCGCGCGCCGACTTATCGGCTTCGATGCGATAAATTGTCTCCCTCGTGCAATCCACCCTCCCGGCTTCGCCGCTGTCTCATGTCGCCCCGCTGTCGCTTTGCGAGACCGGCGCAACCCGTTGAGCAATCTTCAAACACGAATTTGCAATCGCCGATCATCCCTGTGCGCCCGCGCGATATCTCTCTCTCTCTCTCTCTCTTTCTCTGTGTGTGTGTGTGTGTGTGTGTGCCTCCCGCGAGAAATGTAAATAAACACACGGGTTTCGGATTACGTGGGACAACAGGCCGAGGCTTTGCCGACTGAAGCGACTGGCGCGATTTCGGTTCTTTCGGCTTTTTCGGCTCGTCTCGCAGGCTCGTAAATCATCGATGCGACCAAGCCGGAAGTCGGCAGGAAGTAGCCGTCACCGACGCCAGCCGAGACGCATTTGCCACGTTTCATCGGCTCGCGATACAGGTCGCGCGCACAATGCGGCCCATTAATGACGGAAAGGGTATTGTCAGCGAGAGAAGAATGGCTGTCTCGGGGATTCGCAGATGCCCCGAGTAAGGAAGTTTGCGCGAACCGCCCAAGACTTTCATAACGCCGCTTGACTTTCCCGATATACATGTAACGTCGTTATCGCGGAATTTCTAAGTGATGGGGGAGGGAGAACTCCAAAGAGAGTGAGAGAGAGAGAGAGAGAGAGAGAAAGTAATTCGACAAACAGACTGCCTTTACCGCCGCCAGCGTGCCAAAGGATGCAACGCGCCGTCGCGTCGCTGAAAAATCGCGGCTAATTGAAAAAATTGCGAAAGTTGCGAAAACTTTGGCCGGTAGTCGTCGTCGTCGTCGTCGTCGTCGTCGCCGCCGCTGCCGCCTGCTCGGGGGTGCGGCCGTCTTCCGCACTCCGTGGAACTCCATTAAGCCCAGAAACTAATTTCCCAACCGACCCTCGCGACAGCGGCGAGGTGTCTCGCGATCCACCGCGGTCTCCGCGCGGCCGGACGGAGACACGAGCCCGTGAAATCGGGGATTTATTGCTCCTACGGATTCACTTTTGTCGTCGTTACGTCGTCGCCGCCGTCGTCGACGTAACAGTGAAGGACACGCCGGTCGCTCGGAGCTCACGGGTAAACGAAGAGGACCACCGATAACTCGTTTCTCCGTTCGCGAGATCAAAGGTCTGTCGCGCGTCTCTGTGGAATATTTTTATTCGCGGGTATCTTCGATCCGTCGCGAATTCGCTCCGCTCGGCTGATCATATCGGCGCATCATTCCCGCAGACTCTCCCTCCGCCCTCCGTCGTTCGTTAGCGATATTTTGTTCTTCTTCCCTCTTCGCCGGCATTCTCTCGCGCGCAACAAAGAGCGAGCTCGGCTATCGGATCGCGCGATATGTTCATCTCGGATTCTTCTTCTTCTTCTTCTTCTTCTTCTTCTTCCTCCTCCTCCTCCTCCTTTTTTACTCGCCGCGGCTGGAGCAGCAAAACCGCGGCGCACTCCGGCCCGGCCGGTCGTACCGATGTAATTAACACGACGTTCCGTCAGTACCTCCCGCTGCTTTGCGGCTCTTGCGGGGTTCGTTAAGCTCGGCAAATTAATTTCCATCGTATCGTACTTTCAAACCCGACCGCAATTCTTGTGCCCCGCCCGCCCAAGCATGAACGTATTCGCGCGCTCCCCCCTCCCTCCCCCTCCTCCTATAACGCAGCGATTCACGGCCGCGTTTCCGCATCCGTTTCGTCGGTCAGCGCCCTTCTCCCCTCTCCCCCCTCCCTCCCCCCAAGCCGCTCCAATGGAAAATGATGCCGGCAGGCGGAAAGAAAAGCCGCTGGCTACACCGTTCTCCGCGTTTTTCCCGGCCGCGAGAAAATTAAATCAAAGTCCAAGAATGTAGCCCGCGAATTGCGCGAACAAAATACAACTCCGAAAGCTAATCCGGAACCACTCCCGATTTCAGTGTCGCACGCAGCTAAAAATCCGAACTCTTCTCCCGGTAAAAGGAAAATCCGCTGGGACGCAGAACTGTCGAAAAATATCAATCTTTTACTCGTCGATTATAATCGCCAACGGGAAGATCAGATCCGAGGCAGGACCAAAGCGATAACCCGCCTTGGTGGCGAGTCTCAGCGGCGAGATGTTATCGAACGTTAATCCGGCGCCCGTGTAATAACAATATCAGATAGTAATGATTGATTAAGCGAGATAAGATTAGGTTCTCACGATCCG